ACAGCACTATGCTCTGTCCTTATAATAATGGAGAAAACGTTTCCTGGTTCATTTTATAGCTAAATTTAAAATTTCAATACCTTCCTCTAGACAAACCAAGGGTCGCTAATATTTCAACCTTGTTAGTTTGGCGATGAAAGCTTTCATTTGACACGAATATGTGCCATTTTTTCGCCGGACAATACAAACACCTCCACTGTTAGAATCAACTAATAAATTCATAAAATAAATCAATTTTTATACATAGACTTATGACATCCCTTATGAATGATGAGGGTATGAGATGATATGAGCTGTATTCACATCTATAAGAATCCTACCTTTGATAATCCATCATACTCGACCATTTTCTGCTATATACTATCAACCTAAGATGAGTGATTTTCAACTTTTTTATTTATCCCTCTTCTATTCCTACTTGATCGCTGTTCCAATATCTGGAATTCTAGGATTTAAAAAATCTGTGTGCCAAGACATGCATCTATGTAAAACTTTATCATTTATATCTCACGCCATTCTTACATTTTATCACGTGTATGTGATGTCTTCCTTACATTATATCACTTGTTATCCTTGAACTGTATCACTCCTATTCTACGTCACTGTAGTATAATGTCATCCTCATATATCTGCATACTACTGCTCTTAGCGTTCAGTACTTCTTCATTGTCATTTTAATTGTTCTGTTATACACTGTTTTCTGTCAACGCTTGTGCAATCGTTGTATTACATTCTGTATATGTTCTCTCTCTTTACGAGAAGGTTAAGGTGAAACAGAAAAAGAGAAGAATGAAGAATATGTTCAGTCGATGATAGTGTGTGGTGAGAGTAAGATTGAACAACAATATATACACATGTGAGTGATACACACAGTAATGTATAACTTTGTATGTAAAATAAGATTAGTGTTGTTAGAATAAATGAGCAAGTAATAGCGACAAGTAGCGAAAGTGTACAGAAACCAGCAGAAATTACGACAAAGTCAAGAGCTTCGTGTTCATTATAACCATTATCCATTACATTTTTTTCGCTACAATCTGTAACTCTGTAATTTAAATTCAAAAGAGGTTATACTTTCATTATGAGTTCTGTTTTGTATTTGTATATCTTGAACTATATTAAACGTTATTTTTTGAGAGGTTTTTGAAAATTATTCATTGAATGATATTACAAAGTGTAAGTTCTCTTAAGAAAAAAGCTCTGTATCTATCAAGTTGATTCTTTTATTTTTCTTTTTATCTGGCTTGAAGGAGAGAATGATAACACTGCAGCATAAACATGTGGAAATGCGTTGTTTTTTATACGAATCTACTTTATCACTTACGTTATTTTTAAGTTAAAGTATGCAACCATGATGGTCCTCGTTACAGTACTACTCAGTTTTACTTCATTGTGGCTAGGTTTCCCCTTATTAACATGCGTTGCTTCCGATGTTCTTCCTTTATCGAAGCGTTTGACTGGTTCTCGTCCAAATATCGTATTGATAATGGCCGATGATATGGGTTGGGGTGATTTGGGCGCGAATTGGCCCAATACACGTGATACTCCATTTCTTGATTATTTAGCGTCCATTAGTATCCGTTTGCCAGATTATCATAGTTGAGCTTCCGTTTGCAGCGTTAGTCGAGCAGCTCTATTAACTGGACGGTTAACTCCACGTACGGGTGTTTGGAGGAATTTTGCTTCAACTGCCCTAGGAGGACTACCAGTTAATGAAACAATCATTTCAGAACTTTTAAAAAGTGTTGGTTATACAACGGCTATTCATGGTAAATGGCATCTTGGACATCAACCTTCATTTCATCCATCATACCGTGGATTTGATGAGTATATTGGTATTCCATATAGTATTGATATGGGTTGTACAGATAATCCTGGAGCTAATTATCCACCCGTACAAGTTTGTCCTAAAGATCCGCCACTTTATTTCGAACAAAAACATGAACATCCAGATGATCTTAGAAAAGTTATTGAAGCTGATTTAACAGTCGGTATACCATTGTATCAATGTCTTACACCTCGATGTCCTAATGATAATTGTAATAAAGAAATTATTGAGCAACCAGTTAATCTTTCAACTTTAACACAATCATATATTGATAATGATCGACGATTTATTCAACGTAGTGTAGAAGCAAAACAACCATTCTTTCTATATTTACCC